GCAGCAGCAGTCGGAGGTGGATGTGGAGGTGAGAACGGCAGAAATGGGGAGGGAGGAGGACTTGAATGTGGAGGTGCAAATGCCTCAACATGGTATTGAGGTGGTTATGGGCCGGGAAGATGGCAGTGGAGGTAGCGGCGGTGGTGGCGGTGGCGGCGGTGGCGACGGTTGCACTGGAAGGTTAAGGGTCTCTCCGAGGTAGGAGATAATGGATGAAGAGGGAGATGCGGAGGCACGGGATGGGAGAATAAAGAAGGAAGAAGATGCAGCCGGTGATTGAGGTCGATCGCCTTCATGGTAGAAGGAAGAGACATTGGCCTCATGAAGGCAAGTTTTGGCACACACTTACTGCTACACTTGTCAATACCGTGTGTAGACGTCCAAGCCGAAATCTTCAACATCGGCATCAACAGCAACAACAACGAGACAATTTGATGGGCAGGAACCACCACTGAAGTGAGGCAATGCAACCATTCCTCACTGCCAGGCTGCTGCTGCCGCTGCTACTGTGGCACAGCTGCTGACGTGGTGAGATAAGAAGAAGAAGAAGAAGAAGAATTGATGCAGTCCATCTATCCATCCTTCTTTCCTCAAGCATTTGATCACTTACTGACTGTTTCTCTTTATCGCTGGTTAATAGGGCGTCTGTCAGCGGTGGTGGGCGAGGACTCGCTCCCTTCACTGTGGATGGAGGACACGTGAGCGGATAGGTGAGAGCGCGTCTTCCTCCACTTCACTACTTTCTCCATTCCGCTACTCCTCGCCCTCTCTCTTAGCTGCCTTCGGCTACCGCTTTGTCTCCTGCGCTTTGCTTGTCTGCGCATAATAGTCCCACATAGCGGGAAGAAGGGACGAAATGCGTGATTAATTCCAGTTATACGACGCGATTTGGATAGAAACAATGGCGATTGATGCAAACGGCGTCTGACTACTAAACAAACAAACATCAACATTCTGCGAACTCTAGTGACCAATGGTTGCACCATTGAAACGTTGGCCTTAGGGCCAAGTCAAAACTATATCCTTAACCTTAATGAGTCCACAGCGGGTCAATTTCATTTGCAACAATTCCTTTACAGCTTGCGCACCTAGCTTCAGGTTTCATTTGCCAGCTGGAAACACAGCTAAGTCATTTTAAACAGAGCCTTACCTCTTGTATAGGCGAAATTCACATTGTGCTTGCTGTGACTTAATCCTTAAAAATAACTACGCACAAATTCATTTGCAGTAATTTATTCTAAAGAAGTGCAGGCCAGCCTACAATCATCACTCTACGAGCCGACTTAGTCACATTCAGGGCACCTAGTGTTAGACGGTGCAGTTGTCGCGCCAGCGGTGTTAAGCTGTTTGGGATTAAGGCCTTAGGACAGGAAGATTTGGGCCTAAGTTGCGATGACTGAGGCTAGTCAGTGGTAATGTGC